GTTTTGTAATACATCTTTGTCTTACTGGTTGTTCATCCGCGATTTTTGTTGTTGTTGTTATTTGTTTGGTTGTAATAGTTTGAGTTGCTGATTCGTAATTTCAGTTGAAGTTTGTTTGTGGCTGTCTGCTTGTCTGTCGAGTTTATTTGTTTGTAATTCATTCCTATTTTGTTTGCGATTTTCCGTTTGCTTTTATTCACTTGTGTTGTTTGTTGATTAGGTTGGATCTATATGTTGTTCTTTTAACTGTGTTTTCTTCAATTATTTGGCTGTTTGTTCATTTCCTTTGATTGGGCATTCATCCGATATTTTAGTTCACTGGTTTAGTTCACGCGATTTTTGATGACTAGGTAATTCTAACTGCTGAACATTATCTGGTAAATTTCGAAGACTATAAATATTCACTATCTAAGCTGAAAAAAATAAGCGGGGTTTGGGTAGTCAATGCTCCCTGGTTCGGCTTCTTTCGGTCCCAGGGTCATAAGGTCGATAATCCGCGGCTTGTGCCTCGTTTCCGGTCGTCCTATTGATTTTTATCATAATTTTACTAATGACTTGAGTAAGTTTATATGCTTGAACTTGTTCTGTAATAACGAAATATATTATTAACGATTTTTTTGTGTATATTTTGTAATGTTTACTATTATATTTTATTAAGTTCTGATAAAACTTCCCATTTTTATTTTTTCGTAATATCTACACTAAAGCTCTGCATACGATTTTCCCAAAGAGCACATATTTGGTCCGTTACTACAATCTGCACAAATTTATAGGAAATGCACGTACACGACAGCCACGCACAAGTGTACAAACTACACAATAATTTGCCTTCGTAGGTACTTAACGGAAAATGTTCACCCTTCAGAGTAACACAGATAAATCCTATATGCCTTAGAGCAGATATGCCAAACTTGTTTACGCAAGGAGGCTATTTCAGTTCATTACAAAAACACTACAACAACAACAATAATAACAACAACAACAATAATAATGATGATAATGATAATGATAATGATAATATTGATATAAAGATGATAATAATAATAATGATAATAATAATGATAATGATAATAATAATAATAATAATGATAATATAATTACAGGATAATAACAGTAATAAGGATACTGATCACAAAATAATACGGATACTCAGAGAGAGTATTAGGGATACCCACCATAGAATAACCAGGGTACCACATTATTAATAAGGATACTCACCAAAAGATGACAAAGGATGCCATAGACTAATAACGAATAACTCACCACAGAAAATACGGATACTCACCAAAGAAATAAAGTTACTCACCACAAAGAAATAGATACTCACCACAGAAAATATAGATACTCACCACAGAAAATATAGATACTCACCACAGAAAATATAGATACTCACCACAGAAAATATAGATACTCACCACAGAAATAAGGATACTCACCACAAAGACAAGGATACTCACCACAGAAAATATAGATACTCACCACAGAAATAAGGATACTCACCACAGAAAATATAGATACTCACCACAGAAAATATAGATACTCACCACAGAAAATATAGATACTCACCACAGAAATATAGATACTCACCACAGAAATATAGATACCACAGAAAATATAGATACTCACCACAGAAAATAAGGATACTCATCACAGAAAATAAGATACTCACCACAGGATCATCACCGAATAATACGGATACTCACCACAGACTACTAAAGGAAGCCGGAATTAAAGTACAACCACAGTATATTCATCATGTATTAATTATCCAGAGGGATAAAGATGGCTACCTTGTGAAACCACGTGGCTCTGTGTTGATGATGCTATGAACCCCGCTATTGTTTCGAATGTTTGCTTCATTTTCGGAAATTGAATTGAATTATATACGAGTCCCATTTTTTAAAAGGGATGTTGAGATGTCTACAGATGGAAAAGGTAATTGTAAAAAACAAAAACAAAAAAAAGTGTGCATGATGTATGTATGCTTGTGAAAAAGGGAGGACAAATATCTCCTTGTGATAACTTCTATATATAAAAAGAATGTATAGTGATATGTTTCCTGCAATCATCTGCAATTATATAAATATAGGATGATTGCGTTACCAAATATGCTTCATTTCAAAATTTCACTTTTCATATCACTACATGGACTATGATGGATTTCAAAGTAAAGAAGTAAAATAGACGGGTTTAATGACCTGTTTGTAATATTACGCAACCATTGATGTTCAGTGATAGATGCAAATTTCGATGAATTTCGCACCGACTATGAAACCCTCACTGTTAATATTGCTTTTACTGTCATTTTAATATACACGCAAATTTTAATGAATGGCAAATTAGCGAAATGTCTCAGAGGTCTATCACCGCGTTGGCAATAGTACACAATCATTAATAGACTATAATTGGATACGAATCTACATAAGATTAACACTACTTATACTCCTTCCTTGTTAGCACTATCACTTGACGACATCAACCACTCAATATACACACCGAGACACAATGAATAAATTGAACCTTAACCAATGGCGAATTGGCAACGTTCCCCCAGGGGTGTGTCGCCGCGCTGGCATCACTGGCGTCGTAGCAGAAGGTAAACAAAAATAATGTCTTCCACAACGCGAAAAATTCTCTGAAATTATCCCTTTTTCACCCTCCACACGACTATCTATGCAGTAAGTCGAAGAGAAAAGGGGAAGCAGAAGGCAATTCCGTCTATTCTGGGTATTTTCTGGTTTTATTTAAGCGTCGTGTGTGGCCGTAATAACGAATGAAAGGATAATGTGTAATGAACCGGACTTATTATTCTGTGGTCGGGTTTGCAGTCGTGGATATTTTTTTTTATTTTATTTTCGTATAAATTGTCTGTCTTTGTTTTAGCTTATTGTCGTGTAGCAGATAGATGAAAAAGACTGTGTGAATGATTGGAGGAGAACATAAATCATACCATCTGCATAAAATATAATAACAGAGGACATAAAACTTGTCCTCATCAATTGCGTTGCGGTTCAGTTCAGCCAATTAAAGGTACAGCTGTGGGAATAGGAGTTTTATTGGTTTTATTATGCTCGTGTATGTGTCTGTGTTGGGAATCCCAAGCCCTGGGTACTGTTAGTGTGGGAAAAAAAGTGTTGACTTTGACGAGGATTTAAGGTATGGTAATGTTTGTGGAGGATGATTTGTTTCTTATAATGTAATCTTGAGGAAACATTTAAGGATATAGGCTTTGTGAAAGTGTGGATTCTAGTATCTGAGATTGCTGCATTTGGGACTGAAATATATCCTTTGTATAGTTTCTTACAGATTTTTATTTGTGTGTTGTCTGGTTTTCTGTAATTCTGAAATTCAGTGAAAATGTGATTTTGAAATAAATTATTTGGAAAGACATTTATTAGAAGTATTAGTAAAATTAAATACCTCAAGACAATGGAATGAGAGGCAGAGATCCTCCTCCACTATCTAGCTCCACATTGACATTTAATGGGATTCCACCAACCCTGAAGCTTCTTTCATGCTCTTACCACAATCCGTTATTTTGCAGATGGGTGAAAAGATGAAGAAAGGCCAGCTGTGCTACCTTGTGTCACTGTGTGATGCAGGAGCGGCTGGGGAAGGCAAACATCAAGTAGTCTCACCAGTAGACTCACCCCCTTATTTTTGTACAACAAATAACATGCAGAGTGCTGTTGTATACCTCTCACAGGTGAGAAGGAGTACTATTGTGTGTGATTGTTTTTGTTGTGACTAAATGATAATTATGGTTATTGTTATCTTTATTAGTATTATTGTATACCTCATACAGGTGAGAAGGAGTATTATCATTTGTTTGTTTTTGTTGCCTTTGTTGTGACTGGTGATGATGATCTTAATGATTGTTGTTACTATTATTAATATGCTGCTGTGCTGATAGTAATCATCATCATCATCACTATGATCACTATTACTACATTTAATTTTTTTTTTTTAAATATGACCATGACTGATGGTTTGCTCTAACCCTCACAGGAACTCCAGGGTTTGGGGCTTAATTGTGGCCTCATAGAAACTGGAAGCCAGAAGGTGAACTTGGTGGCCCTCATCAATGCCTGCTGGGAGGTGTCGCGGCTCTACCGTTCTTCCGTCCATGACTGCAACACTCTTCAAGATCAGAGGAGAAGAGATGCAGCAGATATGAATCATTTCCAAGTATGTGTGTATGAGTGTGTCTGTTTATTGTTTGGTTTCTTCTCTCTGAGATTACTATACCTTCCAAAGATAGAGAAGGAGATGTGTTCTGCATATGAGTCCTACCTGGTTGGGTTGCTTGTATATTGTTTGTTAGGGGTAGTACAAGGGTGGAATTTGCATAACCAATAAACTTAAAGCAAAGTGAGTTTGACTCCTCATATGGTTCTAGGTAAGGAATAGCATCCACTTGTGATAATCCCTCTAACTGTCAGGAAAAGGCACTGTCCTAAATTTGTGACAAAATCAATTAGGGTCATTCAAGACCTTATAATATGTGTTCTAAAGCATGGCTGAGGAAATGGTCTTGAATATTGCCAAAGTACCTATTCTCATGTTCATATTGTTCTAGGATTTCAAACCCATCAGTTACATATGTATTATAGTACTGATTTATCTTACAGAACAGCATAAGGGATCTAAGAGGGACAGTCGATGACAAGGAGCGCCAAGTCTGCGACGCACAAGAGAGGGAGAGGCAGGCAGTCACTGTTAACAAAGCTCTTGCATCAAAGCTTAAAGGAGAGAAAGAGGAGGTAATTGAGTTATTTTGTTGTGTGTCCTACAGGAGTACAATGAAAAAGAATCGTCTTGTTTGAGGTTGAATATTTATGGATTCACTTGTAAAATGAATGGAATAGGAAGAGGCTTTATGAAAGTAAGATTTGAAAAAGATATAGTTCAGATTTAAGGTTTTTTAAAAATTAGTATAAGGCACAATTTTTTTCAGTTTTCAAAAAGAAATGGACTGATTATATTTCAAGGGTGCTATT